ATTTGTTAGATTGTTAACATCTTGTACTATATTTCTTTTACTTGAATTTTATATGCTTTGGTTGACATTTTATGTTGATGTTAAATCTTTTAAGCTTTTTTTGTTAAAGAATTGACTTAGAGTGCATATTTTGTGTTCATGAAAAAAAACTATTACAGAAAATATTACAATATTGAAGAACTGTTCTTGTTAATTTGATGAAAACATTTTAAATATCCAGTGCACTCACATCAGAATAACTTTTAGATTTGTTGTTAGAATAATCGATCAATCGAAAAAATAATCGTTAGATTAATCGATTAGAAAATAATCGTTTGGTACAGCACTAAACCAGTCAGCGAGTCCAATAAGCAAGTTACCATTGGCATAAGTTCAAACTTACTCCACTTCACACGATTAGCTTTCATTTTCTTCATTGCGGTAAAACTAACCTCTGCTTTTTACCACTGCCTCGTTCACCCCAAACTTTCTGAATCTGGATTATAGTTTTAGGCTGCATTTTTATTTTTTTACTAGCACAGGAACAACATACAGCGTAGCTGTCACAAGCCTAGAGCACCCTCTCAAGGCTGCAGACGGTAATGTTTACTCCTTGGTTCATGTCAGTCAGTATGAACTTTAACACAGTCAAAAAATGCAACATGAGGAGGAAAGTAGACATTTTATAGCTAAACAATAAAAAAGTGTGACTTTTAGTCTGGAAGATACAGTACTACTGACCTGTAATGAATAACAAAGACTAAAATAATTTCTCCATAATGCTACATACCTGCAAGTCTGACATTAGTAGCTTGGAAAGGCAGAGAGAGGAAGTCCTGATGCAGCTCATGCAGATTAGCCACACTCGTCTCCACAGAGAAGCCATAATCCACGTAGAATACCTGGCAGACAAAATACATAGCAACGGTACATTAATGAAAAATAAAAGAAGTACTGTGGGTTCTACTGTGATGTACAATAAATAAACTTTAAAATAAAAAAAGAATACCTGCCAGACAAGTATTTAATGCTGCACAACATTAGGAAAACCTGCGATATGTGATAACAGTGCGTAATATTGCGATGACGATATGACTTGTGATCATGAACAATTACACAGGTATTGATGTCATTCTGCTCTGGGTTCAGAGTAGCCTGGTAAAAAACCAGACCCTATCCTTCCCTTTGCTTCGTACAAGGGTCTGGACTTGCTGCATAGAGAAGTGTTTCTTGCCGGAGGCGTGGCCTCTGCTGAAGCATGTGTGTTGTCGCTGTGAAGGAGGCTAAGTTAAGAAGCTAACCGGAAATCGTGTGTGCTGTAAACCAGTGGTTCCCAAACTTTTTATCTTCTGACCCACAAAATATCCGTGGCAAAAACTTGTGACCCCAAATATTACTGGTCTGAGTACACAAACTTTGTTAATAACCCTAAAAACACAGTCTTTTTGACAATCTAATCAGCTTGTACACAAAAATAAATACTTATTTATACTTTTTTGTGTTTTTGTAATAATTATAGGGAAAATATTACATCAGCAATTATTTTATTACCCTTTAAATTGATTTCTGGAGATTATCCAAGGTGCTTCATGACCCATAATTGGGTTCCAAGCCCAACTTTGGGAACCAAAGTGCAGTGGTTCCCAAACTTTTCAGCTTTTGACCCACAAAATAACAGCAGCAGAGACCTGTGCCCACAAATATTTTTTAATGATAAACATTTGTATCAGGTCAACTAATCATGGACATAGTAACAATATTTTTATACTACATTTATCCATTTTAAATATACTATCCTCACTCCTTTGTAACAAATAAGGCAAAAAATGTCATTAATTCAGAAAATCCTTTCAGGACCCCACCTTGATGTTTTGGGACCCCACTTTGGGTCCCGACCCCAACTTTGGGAAACACTGCTCTAAACAACCCTACTGAGAGGAGAAATATACCGAACCCAATGAGACGGCTGTAAATGAGAGCTGCTGCTTTGTCAGACAAATTTATTTTAATTTGGAAGCCTTATCAACACAGACTGGCTTCATTCACTTCCTCCACTGCCGTATGCTAAAATAACTAGCAGACACTGCGCAGAACATCGATGTCATTCAAAACTCCTTCTGTTTGCTGATTGGCCCAGGTAAAATAAACTACAAGCAGACACTGCACAGAAAATCGACGTTCTGTTCTCTGATTGGCCCGGCTAAAAATCTGCCAGCGAAATCCTTGTCTATGGGAGAAGTCCCAGACGGAGCAGTGAAGGGAAACTAGAATTGAGCGGAGCTGCATAGGAAGGCAAGGGCCAGGCTAGGTTCAGAGCAAAAAACTAAATAAAAAATCATTTCCATTCCAGCTTTTTTTTTTTTTTTATAAAAAATCCATCTAATTGGCTAAATACATGAAGGGCTCCATTTGATTGGTGAAATAATTCAAGCTTCCGTCATAAATGCAGAGTTTTGAGCCAACCATTTATTGCAGTTTATGCAGGTTTTTTTTTTTTTTTTTGCAATATGCATATTGCAATTACGATATATTTTTGGTATATTGTGCAGCCCTAAATTTATTTATTTTCAGTTTAGAGTACTGTTAGCCAGAGAAGAGAATGTACATTTTACTGATTACAGGTCAGGACTCAAACTTGGGCCAACTGCAACAACCCCCACCGCCCCCTGCTCTACAGAAAAATGGACTGAAAACAGAAAGTTACCTTGATCTTGTCAGGGTTTGTGACATCCATCACCTGCGCTCTGGCCATCTCTTCTCCATCTTCCCCTCTGACAGCCACCAGCTGACCGATGACAGGGTTAGTTACAGTCTGTTTGTTTTTGCTGTAAAATGTCTGCATGACATCCTCCATGGCTTCCTGGGTATTGGAGTAGTTTTCACCTACATACCTAAACACAAACATAAAAAGTATGCATTAAAGAAAGTTTAAACATATTAAACAAAAAACAAATAAACATTTTGTTTGGATGTCATCTTAGTTTTACATTAAACACGTTTCTGGGGACATTTTAAGTCCGAATAACTTTAATGAAAATATAGGTAATTTGAAGTATGCAGTAGATTTAGCTGTAATAATTTTGGAAATGTGCTATAATCTCTTACAATCTTAACATGAGGAATGCTTCTGTTAAGAATTTGTAAACTACCTAGTTTATTAAAGAAAATAAAAATAAGTGTTCTTAAAATAATGAAAAAAAATCAGTACAACAATGTTCTAAGCAAGAAGAAGTCAATGTTTTCACAGCCTTTCAGGAAAATATTCAATGTTTGCTACATATAAGTTGCAGTTTAATACATTCAAAATTCAGACCAAATCAGTCAACCCAGTTGTGAAGTGTCTGTCACTTATTTTTAGAAAACAATAGTCTTCATGTGTTCATATACACGTATAATAATAATTTATAACTTGCTTTGCAGACTGTGTGTGGCTCTGGTTTCAAAGTCGCACAGTCAAAAAATTGCTAACTTTACAAATGCATTTCAAAATATTTAAACTGGCAAAGGAATTACTCTTTTATAGTATGCATCTGCATTGAAATATTTAAAGAAAAAAGCAATAATCACAAATGTATCAATGTGTCGTACCTTACAGTAACAGCATTACTGCTCTTAGCCTCAGTCACCAGCACTGAGGGGTACTGCTCAGAGGGAAGAGTCAAACGTGGAGGAACAACAGAACCCACAACCTCCAAACCAGAAGGGAGAGGGTTGCTCCTGCACTGCTGGATTTCTGGGCTGTCTGTGACGTTCATGTCTCCTCTGTTTGAGTTGTACAAAATCGCCTGACCAAACAGGAAAAACTCAACAAAATGGCACATACAATATTTTAAGCAAAGTAGAATGTACAAAAAAAGCAAGCAGAACTAGATGGGTTTACAATAACTGAATACTTAGTACTTTTAAAGGGATCCATGATTAGTTGTAACATTAGACATTATTTAATAAATACATTTTAACTGTAAAATAAATACTGTAAAAATACTATAGGTTGTTTATTTTTTATCATTTTTAAACTAAAAGTTTAAAACTATATTACACGGACGGGGCCATTTTGTTTACACGCAAAGCATTCTGGGTAAATGATGACGTGGATAGGTCCTCGGTGCGAGGCTGCTAGCGAGCTATATCCACCCTGAAGGTTAATCTTGGACAATATCTGATGATCGACTCTTTTAAATGAAACCAGAGAGCGTTGACAAAGAGGAGAAGGTAGAAATGACTCAGCCTGGAACTGAAAATATGGATGGAGGACAACAGCGCTGCTTCATGGAAGAAGAACCTCAACTTAGCCTGTTAGCTTTAGCATTAGCCCCGACAATATATGTATTAGCTCAGCGCTACACATTCTCCTGTCTTCACTGAGGTCCTCCATCCACATGACAGAGGGGAACACAAAAATGACTCAGCCTGCAACTGAAAATATGGATGGAGGACCTCAGTTTAGCTTGTTTGTTTGTCGCACTAGCACCGAGCTAATATTGTTATTTTTAAAATGTTTAACAGCATACACTTACCTTCTTTTTGTCGCGTGGCAAGGGGTACTCCACAGTACATATATCACACAAAAGAGCCAAGTTGTCCAGAATCTGTTCAGGGAATTGCATCTTGTATGCGTCCATAAAAAGCTTTGGTAGAGCATGGGCCCACAGACCCTGACTATACTTGGAGAGGAGTTCCTTTATTTTCTGACGCACCTCAGATGACACTACAACAGCAGGTTTGGAGGGAGGACAAGGAGCAGAGGAGAAGGTAACTTTCAAAAGAGGTAAAATATCCTGGTTCGGTTGAATAGAAGACGTCTTCTTGGCAGCGTCGGTTGATCCAAGGCAAGACCAAGTGGGGGCTAACGAGGGAGTGTTTCGGTTTTGGGTAACTTTTGACAAATTGTGATCCCCTTTAGAGCCAATTTTGCGGTTGACTGCAGGACTGACAGATTGAAAACGTGGAGTCAGACTGGGCTTGTGGGCAGGGCTTTGTAATGTCACAGGTGGCGAGACATGCCCTGAAGCAGGCGGTGGAGGAAAAATGAAGGTGGGCATAGCCAATGGGCTTTTGGGGGAAGCTCTAGTTTTAGGAACAGCAAAAGGCGACAGAATTTCAGAATTCTGTTCAGGAGTGGTGGGAGGGGAAGACACTGGTGTTGAATCTAAACGTAATCCTGAAGACGGGACGGTGTTTTTGAAAGAGCTTGTTAAAGGCTTTGAAGGTAGAGGAGGGTACACAAGCCTGTCAGCTCTGTTGGTGATGGAAGGTTTCTCCATCTGTGAGGGGCAGGCAAGCGAGAAAACACAGATGGCTTGTTGAAAATATCTACATTGTTTCTGATTTAAACATTAATAAAACATATTTTAAATAGTTATTCAAACTTTAGTTTCTTTACTTTGTAAGGGACTTTTCTTTTTTCCTCTAAAGACTCCATGAACTATCACAGCAGCAACTGCAAGTAACTCACCGAGCACAGGTCTGTCCACTTCTCCATATTTAGGAGCACCTGAGGATGAAGCTTCTGGCCGAACATTTGATTATAGACCTCAGGCAGTTTGGACACCCACAGTCCAGAGGAGTACTTCTCCAGAAGCTGCTTCAGTCTGCTCTGCACCAACTCCACATCATAAAGAGTATTCTGCATGAAAAGATCAAACAAGATTAATTGTGCCTCATTTTTCTGAAAATGGGAGTTTTCTGGTACTAAGAAATTAATTACACTGTTTAATAAAAGTTTTTTATGAAAAAATATTCAGCTACTGACTCAAGTGAAGCGAGTGTGAATTTATTACCTCAGGAGTTTTGTAACAATCTGCGCTTAACTTAGAAATGGGCATATAAAAGAGTCAAACTCTGCAACGTGTACATATAAAAGGTTTGTACCTGGGATTCACTGGATGCAGAAACTTTTTCAAGATGAATGTCTGAGGCAAAAAAGGAAATAAAGGTCAGTAGGTTCTGTAAACTATTTTTGAAGCACCTCTATCTGATTGAGCTGGCTTAAAAGTTCAATGATGCTTCATTTTAAATGTGCTGTAAAATTCCTTATAAATCTCTTAAAGATTATGTACCGTACGTTATGTGATTACTGTATACTTGGTTCAATCGTCGTGTCTTAGTCTTTTTAGCAAGCATTATACTGTATGTGAAACAAAAAAAAAAAAAAGATTTACAGACATCTTTTGTACTTCCTAACATAAAAAAATTTGCTTTATAATTCCTGAATTGTTTCATCACAACCTTGTTTCAGTTTATGCATTTAGGTCTAATAAACCTAAAATAAAATGAAGACAAAATGCAATATAAATAATGTAATTCAATCTATTTCACAGAACTTGGATCTTTAGACACATTGCAATTCCTACACCCCTGATTAAATTTAGACTAAAAATGATATTTCACCTGAAGAATAGTTGTTCAGGTTGGGTGACGTTTTTCTGTTGAAACAAAAAAATAGTCTTAAGCATCACAGACTAAAAAGATGCATATTAATCTTAATAGCAGTATTTGTGGAGAAGCATAAAATACAGTATCTGTACACTAAAAACAATTTTAGTGAACTTAACTGCATGCACATTTAACACGCATTCTTAAATTTATTGAAATTGTCATGTTCAAATGCATAAGCTAAGACAAAAGAAAAAAGGTTTTCAGAGTTAAGTTTAAATTAAATTTATTTGCCCTTGTGTGTTACCTGTTGGCTATGATATTCTGTTTTACAGCAGGTTGAGCAGGCGGATCTCTATGTTCAACAGGAGTCATGGAACTTAACTTGTGGTCTGCCTGCCTGGTGTTGGGGAAAACAAAAAGACTAAAAACAAGTTCAGATATTCTAGTTTTCACCTATAAGAAAAAGACAAAAAAAAATTTAAAAAAAGGAAAAGTGCCAATTACAGAGAGCAAACACCATCTGGGTAGGGCTGCGCGGTTTATGCGACAGATCAGGGGTACCCAAACATTTATGAACCAAGATCTACTTCTGAAGTCGGTAGTTTGCCGAGAGCTACTCGTCCAGTCTCAGTATCAAAAAAAAACTATTTTTCATCTCCCTACTCCTCACTTCTTTAAAGTAAATAAAACAGAATGTAGTGTGTTGCTAGTTTTATTTAATTTAAGTATTGTCAAACAAAATTTATCTACTTAACCTTACATACAAAAAAAAAAGATACGATAAAATCCTTACTTAACTCCCGAAAGAGAAGCAGAAAATTGGTGGTGGAACAAAAAGGACCAATTTTTTTATCTTTTTTATTTAGTACTCATTGTGACATGCGAGTTATGACAGCTGGAAACCTACCCAGTAAGACAACCACAGAGTCAAATAACTTTGGAGCAGGGAACAGGGGTCGGATTTACAGCGGGTAAAATAAGTATTGAACACGTCACCATTTTTCTCAGTAAATATATTACTAGAGGTGCTAATGACATGAAATTTTCACCAGATGTTGGTAACAACCCAAGTGATCCATACATACAAAGAAATCAAACCATAAATGTCCAGAAATGAAGTTATTTGTAATAATGTGGAATGGCACAGGGAAAAAGTATTGAACACACTTACTGAAATTTATCTAATACTTTGTACAAAAGCCTTTGTTGTCAATGACAGCTTCAAGACGCCTCCTGTATGGAGAAACTAGTGGCATGCATTGCTCAGGTGTGATTTTAGCCCATTCTTCCACACAAACAGTCTTCAAATCTTGAAGGTTTCCTGTAAGTCCGTAAAGAACTTTAGGAGGGAAATCTGCCTCATACTGTTTGTGCATCGTCTTGAAATGTCGCTCCAAGTTACACTTTTTGGGTAAGGCAATGCTCGAAATACATATTAGGCAAATAGACTTTGAATTAGAATAAAAATACTCTTCTCCCACGCTGTGTGAAAATAATAAATTTTCGTTTACTTGTTCGCTCGTTTTCCATCCATGTTTTCTCTGCATTGACAACTCCACTACTGAACCTAAAGTCTCGTGAGAGTGCTGTGTTTTATAAGGCAAATTTATAAGGCAAAACTCGCGAGACTACGTCTGTGAGAAAACAAAATGGGGAGGGCGGAGGGAGCGCGTTGCTGCGCGTTGGAATGTGTTACTTAAACTCCCCCACCTCCACCGCTTCTGCCGGAGTTAGAATGAAGCTCAGCGAGCGGACATGTCACAGACACGTTGCGCTTTGCGGGCGACAGGGAACCAGCTGGCGGGCGACTGGTCACCCACAAGTGAATTGTTGGGCACACCTGCGATAAGACGGTAGAAACGATATGAAGTTGGCCTGCGGTAGACATTTACCCTCTACCGTCCTGTCGTCAGTGACGTCATCGCATCTGTGTCAGCAGGGCTGCGAGTGCAGAGACAACTGAGCAGAAGGAGTTCAAAATAAAATGAAGAAATGTAGCGTTTTAAAACACGTGTAGAGAATAAATCCTCAAAATTTCCCCTCCCGCTTTAGAAAAGTTACTTTGTGTCATTCCCCCCCGCAGCACGTCTCGCAGAGCGAAGCTTTAACAACTGTAGTTTTTAACACCCAAGTTGTGAGAGAAAAAAAACTTGTTTTTTATGTATCGTTACCCACAGAGATGATAAAGACGTGGACGTTCGTTCAGTCATAAATCCATTTTGCTAATGTAACAGTTCTGCTCTGATGACTGAGATGAGAGCGCAGCAGAGCAGCAGTGGGTCAGTTCAACAGGCAGAAGCTCATTGTATGGCAGGCAGATATTACATTTATTTGGCTTCACCACACTTACATTCCAGTTTTCTGAAATAGTTTTATGACAGGACTATGTGCAGCTTAATTCCCCTAAGGTCCTGTCACACTAACATTTTAGGCAACTTATGCCACCTTATAATTTTTTTATGTCTAAATGACTAATTTTACTTGAAGTACTGGTTGTAACATCCACTTTATTTTGATATTGTTGAAAATTTGAGAAATGTTTTTGTTTTTGCAATATATACAAAACATTCTTTTGTACTTCTGTTTTGTTCATTTGCACTACAGCAAAAATGCTTGGTTTGATTATGATTACAGTTTTCTGCAAAATAAATGCTCTAAAAATTACATTACCTTTGCTTTTTATGATGATATTCTACTGTGATATATATATATAGTTACCAAGAAGGGATTCAATTTATACTGTGATATGAATTAGAGGTCATACCACGCAGCCCTACATCTGGGTAACATATTTCTACTGAAATAATCTACAATTGCAGTTACTGAACATCATTACAGTTGAATGCTACCAATAAGAATCTAAATAGTCTCTACCTAAAATCTCCTGCGGCGCTGCTCCCTCTGTTGACTACATGGAATCGAGACCAGTTGGAACTCCTTCCAGCTGATGGTTGGCGGAGAGAGGACCTTGGTGTGACTAGAAGTGGAGAAAGAGGAAAAACAAAATCACTTTTAAAAAAAGGACAGAGGAGAAGAAAGGATTACCAAGAAGAACTGTGGACATTTATGTTCCCACCTCTCATGTCTATCAAAACCCACTGTGCAATATGCATATCTTTGGCAAAATGACTCAAGAGAAAAGTTGTGATACAAAATGATTGTTTCCCTTCTCTGAAAATTTACCAATTACTAGGGGTGTAAGAAAATATCGATACACTGAAATATCACGATATTTCATTTCCCGATACTGTATCAATATTCTAAAGCCCTGTATCGATTTTTATTAAGGTTTAAAATGTCAACTTTCCTGCCAGCC